AAAGTGTCGTAATTTGGTTCCAAGAGGTCCCAGAGACCGGTGAAAAAGGGGTAGAGGTCGGCGAAAGGAAGGGAAATGCTATTGGTGGGCGGGGCACGCACCGAAGTAGGCGGAGTTTGCCACGAGATTTATTGTCCGGAAGCAGTCCGGAGACCGAGGAAAAAGAGGATAATGGTTGACGAAGAAAAAAGGTTGAAAGCCGTCGATGATGGAGCGGATTGAAATTTAGCTGAGGATTCAGATATTCGTAGGTGTATCAAGCCAAATTTGAAAATTTTCGTCGCACCATCAAAATTCGCCGCAGATCTGTGTTGCGCGCGCAATGCGTGCGGCGCCAACTGGTAAATATAATGATTGGTGTAGATACATCAACGTGAAGCCTGGCCATGCACAACTCTCGCACATTTGGTAATTGTAGACGGTCAAAGGTGTTGGAAACCGATGAGACGATGAGATGCGCCATGCATTCACTTAGAACTAAAAACAGCGATAGGGGTATTACTGCCTGGTCACTGAATCACAACAGGTTGTGCATTCAAAAAGGTCAGATTTTATCAGTTCTTCATACGTATCGTAATCTGAGAATGCATTGAACTTTACTTTGTGATTACAGCTCTACCTCCTCTCATATGCTTCCCAAACCACACAGGCAAGCTGCATTATGAGTGCTGCCCTGTGGGAATGGAGGTGGTTGGAAGAGTCAGTTTTTCAGTTAAGCAGTGCCGTTAATCTGACCAATGTATGTAGGAGGGCTGGGTCACTGCGTAGGCCTAGGAATAGGAAGAAAGTAGAGAAATGTTTGAAAATTGGCGCTTCACGGCTTGATGGGTCCTTACACCGACTCCGACTTTAAACATTGCAATGCTCTCAAATGTCACATCATTGAAACATCTGGCGTTCACTGGACGACTTTACAAGCATTTGTGGCGGCCATATGTTCCACGAGATTTCAGAGCGGGCCAACAATTCGCTCGTGGGATGTTTAGCGCTACGAGAGGAGTGAATTGGGCAAGGGGAAGGTGGAAGAACTTCTCGGGGCAAATCATACCTCGTATAGAATATAGCAAAGAATATTTTCAGGGTTTGCAGAAGAAGTTTGTAGTTCTGCGGTCAGACTTATTCAGCTTGGTATTTTCGAGCTTATACAGGGTTCAGGATTTATCTGCCTATTAGCGAAGCTTTTCAGAATCGTCGAGTTCATTAATTACCGTCGCTCAATCCCAGTTACTGCCCTGGCTTCCGTATTATCTTAGCCTACTGCTACTAAAAAGTAGTGGCTCACGGGGAGTAGTGGAGCTGCTTGAAGGTGCAATAACTTCGGAAGCTTTTGATCTATGCTTATAATATGTGCCACGGGTTTTGGATCGAATCCGATCAAAATACCGTCCTGGCCATCCGAGTCTAATAGTCCTCCGGTGTCGGTTAATTGGTACCAGTCCTGTCCAACAGGGCAAAAACACGACTTGTACATCTACTGACTGAGGCAAGACATTGTGTAGGGAATATTGCCTGTGTAGGAGAACACACCAATACTCCTGGAATTGTATCTATATGGCGAATCAGAAAGCATGGCCGTAATTTTTCCCGAGAGGGGTTGGATGGGTGCTGCATGTGTGGGGTGGGCTCGCCCCTTAGGTTGAATGGGTGAAATGCTTCCTTATAACCCTTCGATTTCGCTGACGATCTATAAATCCCTGAGCTTGGTTAATTATAAACTTTGAGTGGTGGATGGTTCTGATACCATGAACCACTTGTGGGTCACTCAGAAAGGCGGTGCAAAAAGACAACGAGTGTTCTGCTGCCAAACCTTTATGAGTCACAGACACGAAAATGAACTTTCGAGAGCCTTCTTCAAGGTCGACCAGCCATTCTGTCACACTCTCCGTGTTGACTTGAGTAGAGCTCTGCCCAAGGCCTAGATACAGAAGAAAAAAGTTCACCGTTAGTCATTGACAGACTTCTTGCGGGATACGCCACGCATGCAACTTCTGTTCTGGGGTTTGGCGAATTTGGACCGTGTGCCATCACCTTAGGGTTACCCATCAACCGCTGGCATGGATGCCCATTTTATGAACCTCATCGGCTAGCTGCGATCTTCTGTGGTGGATCAGCATGAACCGTTTCCGGATTCGCAGCGCTAGGGAGAACATAGCAAACCTTTTTCTTTGGATTTGGAATCGAGCTATTCTTGCGGCCTATCTTGCCGTGGTTCTCGGCATTGAATGCCCATTGGCAGTGGTAATCAATCCAACCCAACAATGGCAAGCTGGCTGTTCTGGCCAGCTAAGGAACAACGTCCGTGCACAATCAATCTCCATGCGCTGGACGGCGGTTGCAGCTCCAGTGGAATCAATTCGACCTCCAAAAAAAAAAAAAAAAAAAAAAAAAAAAAAAAAAAAAAAAAAAAAAAAAAAAAAAAAAAAAAAAAAAAAAAAAAAAAAAAAAAAAAAAAAAAAAAAAAAAAAAAAAAAAAAAAAAAAAAAAAAAAAAAAAAAAAAAAAAAAAAAAAAAAAAAAAAAAAAAAAAAAAAAAAAAAAAAAAAAAAAAAAAAAAAAAAAAAAAAAAAAAAAAAAAAAAAAAAAAAAAAAAAAAAAAAAAAAAAAAAAAAAAAAAAAAATTCGTTTGTCTCTTTCTGCAGCAATACGCTATCGGCGTATGCTCCAAGGGACGGCTGCCAATATTACAGCGAATAAATTAATAGTAAAAATCATTATAAATACAAATGGAACAAATGTTAGATGTGAGCACAAATATATTTCAAGCTACAGAAAAAATCCGAAACGTATTTCAAGCTACAAAAAAAATCCGAGCAGGGCGGGCAATATAGGGCATTTTAACACATGCTCTGTAGAAATTGCTCCTCGACGGTCCTCTCGGCTCGGAGACCGCAAGCGATCCTTCTACTAACAACTAGTTGCCAGCCAAGGCTTAAGATCACTACAATGCGTTTGTGTGTATGTGGTTCGATTTTTTTCTAATTGGGGAAAATTCCTCTTAAGTATCGCCAAACTGGTCAATAAATCAATTTTTATATCGGACATACCGCTCTTGACCGAAATTTGAGGGTTCATGACATTCAGGTGTTTATGAGCCTTCTCCCTAGTGTTAATAACCGAAAAGTGGTTGATTGGTGTTCTTCTCGGGAATAAAACTTGCAATACGGTAACTGAAATTGTCTCCTGTCTTCCTTCATTTTCCATCCTCTCTGCAACTTTGTGCATTCAGGTGATTTATCGATCCGCAAGCGTCCTGCCTAATTGGTTTTCATTTTTCAGCGAAGATGAAGCCAATATGGTGTCGTCTGGCGAGGAGAATCGACTGCACGAGGATCTCTCAAGTTCATTAGAGGTCTGGCATAATCAATTCCCATCAGTTGTATGTGATGCAAGCAGGAGAAAATTTGAGTCTTTTCCAGGATCTTGTCGGTAATTTTGACGAGAGAATCAATTCATGTCTGAAGAATCCAGATGTGAACACCGAAGATATCGCTCCAGTACAGGTTCGAACACAGGACGAAGTGATGGCCGAAAGCCAGTGAGTTTTTCGTGTAGTGATTTGAGAAACGAAAAAGAGGTTGTCATAATCACACTCAAATGAAATCGATTTGTGGAATATGTACGAAATATGTAATATGTGTTATTATACCCTATTTTCAAGGGCGGAAGTGGTGTAGTGGCAAGTGGCACGCTTACCACGCGCGGTCCGGGGATCAAATCCTGGGTCGTGAGTCGCCCGGGCCAACCAAGCCTTCCATCCCTCCGGGGTCGGTTAATTGGTACCAGACTTGTCTGGGAGGATAAAAACACTGACTTGTACATCGGCTGGCCCCGCAAGTCATTGTATAGGCCACATCGCATTCAAACGCCACTACGAATGTACAAATGGAAGTAGAATGCGTGCCGCATCCCAAAAAGGGATTGATCAACGGCAAATGCTTTATCCTTTCTATCCTTTTACCTTATTTTCAACCATGGGGTACGTTGCAGTTCTCTTGCTCAGGTCACGGTTACCTCAGAAAAGAACACCTCTAATTTGATAGTAAGCATAGGACTAAGCCTAAGCCTAACCATATGTAGGCTTAAGCATAAGCCAGTGTGTAGTCATAAGCTCAAGCGTTGGCTCAATCCTACCTTAGCTTCAGTCAACGCGCAGCTCTGGTGAGCTGACCTAGTAGGAGAACTGAGTGTATACTCAATAATCCGTTCTTGTATTCGCTCATCGTTTTCAGTCTCCTAATGACCAGAATCGCAGAACTATGAACGCGGCATTAGAAATCTGATGGAAGTGGTCGGCATCACAGTAGTCGGTATTTTAACCAACCAGGCGACTTTATGTCTGCCGCATGGCGCATTTTTTAAATAACTCCAAATATGCCCAAAACAAGGGTAGATCTTCTCATTTGGCCTCGGATAGGGCTCCGGAAGTATCTAAAAAAAACTTCAACTCATCAGTACTCTGGCTGGCTGGGAGCAAAAAAGCGTTTGTGTACGAAAATTAACAAGCTTTTCTTTAAAGCCTCAATTGCAGATACCTTTTGAGTAGAATACCTACTGAGGAATGTATGAGCCATGGTTACCATAAAAATTAAAATGCCTTCCTGATGAAAATGTTATCCGTGATAAGTTTGAAACCCGCAAAAGAATTTTTCCTTGTGCCGCGACAAAGCATCGAGTCGCATTGCCCTACGCTATAAAAAAGGGCTCTGCACCGTCGAGCCGCATTGTCGCAAAAGTGTTGATAGAAAATGAGGATCCTTTCCATTACCAGTGTTTTTTAAATACACTTTGGTCCTTTTTTAATGTCTATAAATATGTTCAACATCCACTAGCCCTGTACGGGTTCAGAACAGTAAGTTACTCTTACCTAAGTGGTATGTATAATTATGTTAATGGGTAGTTGAGTCTGGCAGCTAACTCTTTGTGGTTATGCTGTGAAACGTGAGGGTCGTGCC